TGAACTGGGAGGGACTGGGAGGGAACTGGGAGGGGATAAAAGGGTTAAAAATGGGGAATAATCGGATTTTTTATACTGGTTTGTACTGGTTTGGGACTGGTTTGGGACGGGTTTATACTGGTTTGTACCGGGAAGGCACTGGGAGGGAAATGGGAAGGGATGGAAGGGTTAAAAGTGGGGAATAATCGGTGCTGGGGCGATTTCTTATACTGGTTTATACTGGTTTATACTGGTTTGGGATTAGTTCATACTGGTTTATACTGGTTTGGGACTGGTTCATACTGGTTTATACTGGTTTTTACTGGTTTATACTGGTTTGGGACTGGTTTTTACTGGTTTATACTGGTTTATACTGGTTTGGGACTGGTTTATACTGGTTTATACTGGTTTTGGACTGGTTTATACTGGGCAGGGCTGGGAGGGGATTAAAGGGTCAAAAGTGGGCGTGGCCTGAAGTGATGTGGGCGTGGCTTTGAGCGGGTGGGCGTGGCCTAGCAGGATGTGGGTGTGGCTTAAGGGATCTGGGCGTGGCTTAATTGTTTTTAATTGTTTTTTAATTATTTTCTTAATTGTTTTCTTAATTGTTTTGCCACTGGGTGTGGCCTAACTGGGTGTGGGCGTGGCTTAATTAGGTCTGGGCGTGGTTTTTGACTGGTGGGCGTGGCCTAGCAGGATGTGGGTGTGGCTTAAGGGGTCTGGGCGTGGCTTAATTGAACCTGGGCGTGGCTAAACTGAGTGTGGGCGTGGTTTAAGTGAAGTGGGTGTGGCTTAATTATAAATGGGCGTGGCTTAACTGGATCTGGGCGTGGCCTAAATCGGTGTGGGCGTGGCTTTGGATTGGTGGGCGTGGTCTATCTGGGTGTGGGCGTGGCCTGAGGGGGAGTGGGTGTGGTCTAATGGGTATGGGCGTGGCTTAAATGGATATGGGCGTGGTTTTGGACTGGTGGGCGTGGTCTGATGAGTGTGGGCGTGGCCTAGCCGGGTCTGGGCGTGGCTTTGGACTGGTGGGCGTGGCCTAACCGAGAATGGGCATGGCTTGATTTGAAATGGGCGTGGCTTTGGAGGGATGGGCGTGGCCTAACGCATGTGGGCGTGGCTTTGGACTGGTGGGCGTGGTTTATCTGGGTGTGGGCGTGGCCTAGCCGGGTCTGGACGTGGCTTTGGACTGGTGGGCGTGGTCTAACCGAGGATGGGCGTGGCTTAATTTACCATGGGCGTGGTTTTGGAGGGATGGGCGTGGTCTAACATGTGTGGGCGTGGTTTAAATTGGTCTGGGCGTGGTTTGGGACTGGTGGGCGTGGCCTGATGGACACGGGCGTGGTCTACCTGTGTATGGGCGTGGTTTTGGACTGGTGGGTGTGGCCTAAATGGGCTGGGCGTGGCTTAATTTGCCATGGGCGTGGTTTTGGAGGGATGGGCGTGGCCTAACGCATGTGTGGGCGTGCTTTAATTGGGTATGGGCGTGGTTTTAACTGGTGGGCGTGGTCTAACAGGGCGTGGGCGTGGCCTAACGAGCGTGGGCGTGGCTTAGCGGGGTATGGGCGTGGTCTACCTGGGTATGGGCGTGGTTTTGGACTGGTGGGTGTGGCCTAAATGGGCTGGGCGTGGCTTAATTTGCCATGGGCGTGGCTTTGGAGGGATGGGCGTGGTCTAACATGTGTGGGCGTGGTTTAAATTGGTCAGGGCGTGGTTTTAACTGGTGGGCGTGGTCTGATGGATATGGGCGTGGCCTAGGCGGGTCTGGGCGTGGCTTTGGACTGGTGGGCGTGGCTTAAATGGGCTGGGCGTGGCTTAATTTGCCATGGGCGTGGTTTTGGAGGGATGGGCGTGGCCTAACGCGTGTGGGCGTGGCTTTGGACTGGTGGGTGTGGCCTAACCGAGGATGCGCGTGGCTTAATTTACCATGGGCGTGACCTAACGCATGTGGGCGTGGTTTAATTGGGTCAGGGCGTGGTTTTAAGTGGTGGGCGTGGTCTCATGGATATGGGCGTGGCCTAGCCGGGTCTGGGCGTGGCTTTGGATTGGTGGGTGTGGCCTAACCGAGGATGGGCGTGGCTTTGGAGGGATGGGCGTGGCCTAGCGCGTGTGGGCGTGGTTTAAATTGGTCTGGGCGTGGTTTTGGACGGGTGGGCGTGGTCTAACCGGGCATGGGCGTGGCCTAACGAGTGTGGGCGTGGCCTAACGGGGTGTGTTCGCCGGTGGGCGTGGCCAGGCGGGCTGACGGCGCTGATGTTCGCGGACGTGCTGCAGACCCTCATCATCATCGCGGGCGCCTCCGTGCTGGCCGGCTACGGTGGGGATACTGGTTTATACTGGTTTATACTGGTTTACAGTGGTTTACATTGGTTTTTACTGGTTTATACTTGTTTTTGCTGGTTTATACTGGGAGGGATTGAGTTACACTGGGAGGGGACTGGGAGGGACTGGGAACCACCACTGTGGGGCCTTACTGGTTTATACTGGTTTACACTG